AGTTTCCAATTGAATTGCGAAAAGAATTTGTTCAGCTCAACCCAACAAGCCTTTTCCTAGATTAAAATTGAACGTTTCGTATTTGGCTGTGAAACGTTGCGAAGTTCTGAGAGCGAAAAGTGAGAAAAATATCAAGGGTATTATGTTGGGGCCCTTCAATACATGAGATATGTGTTGGCTCATCACTAATTGCGCAAGATGGTTGTGCGCGGCGAATAATTCAACATATTGGCCTACTGGAGTTGTTCTTACGCTAATCCTTAAAATACGTACCATCATACTAACATCGGATTTGCTCATTCGTAGGAACCTTCTCATCCTGCTCACTTTAGGGTTATCCCATAGGATCTTAGCAGTACTATCACATAACGATTCATTATTCTAGGTGGTCTTAGGGAATCCTTTTGTCCATACTTTTAATTCAGGTCTCGTTGCATCGAACGAGTACCTCGAGTTCCCTTTCTTTTAAAGCTTTCCTCTCGAGAGTATTCGGTCAAAGCTCCCTAACAGTTCTAAACAATCTTGGATTTAACCTTATCATCTGATATCGTCCTAATTTCCTTCCTTTCTTATTCATTCAATTATAGGCCAAGTCCTTTGGAGATTGAGTCAATAAGGCAAAACATAAATGTCTCACCTATTCAAGATCTAGTAGCAATCTCTGAATGGGGTCGTACCAATAGAGTCGATTTTAATGCTCACAAGACTCAATGTCGGGCATAAACGCGCGACATATCATGTTGCTTCATCTATATTTATGGGTGGTATAAATATTAAAAAATCAGATGTTCTTAATCTTCTAGTCATGAGATTACAGTGCGATGTTCACTGGCATAAACACATATTTGAAATGTCAAAAGAAGCATTCAAGTGTCCCTGTTATCATAAATGGTGCAAAACATAATTCCCTCTGATCACCTTATTATCTAACCACTTATATCCGAACTATAATGGAATACAGCTCTCATGTATGCGCCGGTGCTTTAGAGTCTTTTTTGCGCCTTCTCGCCAGGAGAGAGCAAGAGGTACTTATAGGTGACAGTAGGGTATCCAACTCTATTGATTCACTTCACTTCTGGTACGTTTCACAGTTCTTTCGATACTACAAAAGAATGTGTTGTTTTGAAATTATGGAACTAGTTGCCGAAAACTTCATATTTAGACGCAACACAGGTAATTCATCAAGAGCCCATCCAATTGTGGTCGATTAACATACTGTCCGTGGAACAATCTTCCCCTAGAGGTCTTTCCTCTCATTTGATTTGATTTAAAGCTAATATCCAATAGGGTATTCAACTCTATTAATTCACTGGAGGGTGAAGGTAGGTACTTATCGGTTACTGTAGGGTATCCAACTCTATTGATTCTCTGGAGCATCGTCGCCATGTAGGGTGCGTTTCACTGTTCTATCTACACTGTTCTATACTACAACGAAATGTGTTATTCTGAAATTGTGCCCGAAAATAGGATATTTTCACACAACACATGTCATTCATCAAGAGCACATCCATTTGTGATCGATTAACATACGGGAAGAATTTGTTGTGGTATTTTCTGTGATTTGATTTTAATCTATTACCCTGGATCCCAAAATCTATCTAGCCTGAAAGCTAGTGCCATGATTAGGTATACTGAAGTATATTTCTGTTTCTGGGTTTTCAATGTAGGATCCCTTAGGCCCTTTTTCCCCCGTTTAGAGTAATTTGTTTAGCAACGAACTCCTATTGGTAAATGCTCTAATGCTCCCCTTGACCGTTATTTTCTATCAAGGATTGGTGTTTCATAGTTCCCGCGGTCGGACACGACCGATATTTGTGTATAACCTTCCAATGTGTCCAGTTTGATTACGCCTTTGTTCAGTTCGCCTAAAGTTAAGAGCTATTTGGCTGTAAGTGTCGCCTTATATCTTATACATGTTTTAACATTTCCAAAGCTTTGGTTGGCGTAGTGCTCATGGCTTCTGTTATGCCCAAGCACTAAGTACGCTAAACTATAGTGGTCTAGCTTATCCTACTGACCACTAGTAGTTGCTATAGTTGTAAACGTCCAAATTTTAGATATATTACAAAAGAAGTACCTTAGTGCAGCACCTCCTGATGCCAGGTGCTAAAGAAAGTGTATGAAAGGTTATGGGCCGGTTTCATAGTTCATCCTAAGGGAATATATTTTGCTGTAGAATTTATCATATCGATAAATTGTACAGTTGTTACTGGAATATTAAACCATTTTATTTTTAACAAAGTATTCCTACTTTACAATTGAAACGCCCCTTATAAATAGGAATTCGTTATTTTCTCATTTTTATTCAATAATGCCAATGGATTATCAGTAACAGTAAATTTTATTTAATATGTGTTTTACGATTCTTTTCGCTTATTTTATCAATATTAATTTAATTATTTAAGCTGTGCATACAATGCATGAGTTGGCCCAAATTGTTGTCAAGTCAAGTACATTGAAATTATAATTTTCAACGCAAAAATAACTGATGATATCGGCAGAAAAATACTAGCTTTAAGCTGAAATTAAAAAAAAAATTAAAAACCAGCTTTTTTAAAAACATACTTTATAAAAATAAATGAATTTTTGTGAATTACTATAACTAATTAAAACACCGGTTTAACAAAAGATTTTTATTTTAAAATACTCTGGAAGTAGAATAATAAAATATTTAATTTGCTAGAACTTGCATAAGTACGCAATATATAAAAAATAAAAATTGATTCCATGACGCACAATTTAATAGATTTTCTATTAAAAATAAACTAAAATGTTTTCTCAGAATATATATTTCAATATATCCAAAGGGGTTTAAACTTTATTGATATTTAAGTAAAACTTAATCCAGCTTGCAAACTGTTGATTTATGCATTACTCACAACTCTCTCTCTTTCAACTCTCTCAACAAATGTCAAAACGTGATAAGATTTTTTATTTAAAAAAATGGTTTTAAATTAAAACAAAAATTTGCTGTGAATGATGCAAATTTTAATAATCTCTTAACTTTTGTTTTGTGTTTTTAAGCAGGCTTTTTTTTTTTAATTATTTTCTATTAATTTTTATATTGTTTTTATTTCAAATGTCTGGTATTTATATATTTTTTTTGATAAATATTTCTATAGATTTAATTGTTTTTATGAGGGCATATGTTTGTAACCGATAAGTAGGCAAACGACTGCACTGCATATTATTATTTATTTTATGATCTTTAATTGCGAATGTTTAATATTACGAATGGAATGGAAAGTTTGGAATTTCTAATATTAAAACGCAACTTTGTAGGGTTTTTTTGGTGACTGAGTAACTGAGGTCAAATTATTTATAAAGATTTTATGGATAACACAGACCGATAACATTTGGACTTGGAATTTTGGTCTTTGTTGTGAAATGTATCAGTTCTATTTGGCTTGGATTTACTTGTAGATCACTCTCTGTGGCCCAGAGCATTAGACATGATATCAGTAATCACGTCTTGTTTTGTTGCTTGTTGAATTGCCTTCTATGTCTAAAAAGGCTTCCATAGTATATTTTTTTTTTAATTCGGAAGACTTTTCTATAATTCGGACTATCTCATGAAGATCGGATTATGGATATTCTGTGGAGTCATAGGATCATGTACTATTTTGTGGTGTTGTGGTGACCTAAATGGAAAGCTGTTCATCCCGTCTGGAGTTCCCCTTTCATTTCTCTTTCCCTGACTAAATATGTGCAGAAAGGGAGTATTCAGTAGAGTATTAAGAGATTCTGCTAATGATTCCGAAAAAAATCGTCTTTCCTTTTATATATATTATAAAATTTAATAGACCCTTAGCAAGAATTTTGCGGTGTCTAGCGGAATCCTTTGTGTTGTCTATAGATTCGCAGAAGATTCTCTATGAGGCTGCTTTTGCGATTGCTATAGCTTTCTTATATGTATTAAGATTATCTCGGTGTGGCTGACACGATTTATTATTGTAGTTAGTATTTAAGACTCTACGTAGCTTAGATCACTCCAAGATCCACCATGCAGGAAAGCTTTTCTTTGGCTTACTGATTGGGCAGATAACTTCGAAAGCTGAGAACGATTTTATGTTGTATACCCTCCACCTGTTAATATATCTTCTCTCGCGCTATAGCTGCCTGAACTTAGAAAGATAAATATTGTTGTGTTAGTATTAATGAAATGGAATATTGACTCACCCCTTTTATCAATTTCACTGCTGCTCCACATGAAACTATCTGATATCGCAGCCATTATTGGCTTCGAAGACCGTCATTGGATGAGACAGAACAGACCGACGTCTGTTTTCGAGCATTCATCTGCGATGTTGTTGCCTATTAAATCACAGTCATTCTGTTTAAGAATTTCTGACATTCCAGGACTAATCTTGATGTGGTATACACCCTTGTTAAGGTTTTTACTGGAGGTAAATATTTGAACATCTCTGTGCGTCAAGGCTAAGGCCATATAATAGGCATCACTATTTTTCGCTGATATTTCAGCTTAAAGGATGACTGCATGATTGAGTCTTTATTATATTTTAGTCCCAAATTCTTCAATGATGATGCCACCATCAACTCCTTTCGTTGTCTTGGGGCAATGTGTATAAACACGGAAAGAACTATCTAACGGAAGGAGGGAGACTTCTTAGAGATATGATATTGGAATTGTTGAGATTCCGGGATACAATAATCAATGGCATTTTAAGGTATAGGAAGAAGATTCAGCGATTTTCGCGTGACACCTGAAACAATTATTCCATTTGACAGTTAAACTCAATCTGACATCAATGTACATTTTCATTTGGAATCCAGTTGAGCATAGCAAACAACCGCCTTTGAGGGAGTTGTTCTTAGAGAAGTGGTAATGAAAAGAGCAGAAGATCTCATTGTATTTTCGAGATGTTGTCTGTATAAAGAATTCTTTATTCCAATTTCTTTATATTATATATATTTTAGTATTTAAATTCTGATTTCTTTAAATATACTAATTTCTTGCATTTTCTTTACTTTTATTACAGATTTAGTACATTGTACAAATGAACCCAATGTCTCCATACCACATTTGGCCAATTTACTTATTGAACGTTCACAAAATGCCAATTGGGTGGTAGTGTATAAATCTTTAATAACCACACATCACTTGATGGCATATGGAAATGAGGTGAGTTTAACGACACACTATACAAACCAGGCATGGGAAATTTAAATTCTGAAATAGTACTAACTTATAAAAAAAGAGTTCTTTTTAGGTCTCAAAGTACAAAACTAATTTTCCGCACGACTACAAGCTATATTATAAAGTAGACTATCGACTAGACTGCAGTCTAGACTATAGACTGGACTACAGACTGGACTACAGACTAGACTATAGACTGGACTATAGACTACACTATAGACTACACTATAGACTATACTATAGACCAGACTGTAGACTAGACTATATACTAGACTATAGACTAGACTATAGACTAGACTATAGACTAGACTATAGACTAGACTATAGAATAGACTATAGACTAGACTATAGACTAGCCTATAGACTAGACTATAGACTAGACTATAGACTAGACTATAGACTAGACTATAGACTAGACTATAGACTAGACTATAGACTAGACTATAGACTAGACTATAGACTAGACTATAGACTAGACTATAGACTAGACTATAGACTAGACTATAGACTAGACTATAGACTAGACTATAGACTAGACTATAGACTAGACTATAGACTAGACTATAGACTAGACTATAGACTAGACCATAGACTAGACTGCGGTATTTTGCGATATTAAAAAGTACTGAAAAAGTACTAAAGTACTGAATTTTCCATGCCTGATACAAACAACGAAAAAAAATTAAACACTCAATTAAAATCAAAGTGACATTTCATCAAAATCATTATTAAAATTGACAGTTGCTAATTGTTATTTGTTTTTTTTTTTTCTCAAACAATTTATAGCGTTTTATGCAGTATTTAGCTTCATCAAATTCAACATTTAATCTTAGTAATTTCTTGGATAAGGGTGGAGTTCAAGGTAATTAGAAATAAAACAGTTGAAATTATTATTTCTCAACACACACACAAACACTCAAACAGTCATTTTTACAAAATAGCAAACAAATTGCCAACAGGGATTAAAATTTAATTTTTACAAATTTGTTTAATTGTGCAAAATTTTAATTACATTTTTTTTCATTAAATCATTAATCTTTCTCATTTTAAACATTCATTTATTTTTACCAACTAATATAATTTTTACATTGTTTTTTCTTTTTTTCTTAATTTTGTTGTTCTTGTTGTTGTGGTAACAATATGATGCTTTTTTATATTTTTTTTTCTTTTATTCTTTTTTTTTATATATAAAACTCAACACTCTACACTACCAAAACTACAATTTATATTCTTCATTAACTTGGATTTATTTTTGATTTCTTCTCACAACTGCCAAAATAAAATCAACATCATCATGAACTTATCAACAAATCATACAATTTTAATCAACTAATTACAAATTGCTAAAATTTAATCATTTATGGCTTAATTAACTTTCTCGTTTTGTTTTTTGTTTAATTTGTTTAACAATTATATTTTTGTGAAATTCTATTTATTTTATGTTAAAACAAAAAAAAAAAAACAAACCAAAAATATCCTTCCTAATACTCGCTTTACTACTTCTTCTTTGTACTACTTTTACCTTGTTTCGAACTCATCCCTTCTAATCTAAAAATAAACAAATTACAAAATCAAATTATAAACAAAACCATGTAAAAATATGCTTAAAACAAGATGGTGGTATGTCGGTACCTGGTGGCAGAATGGGTGAGTAAAATTTTTGCAAAATAAAAAATAAAAAACAGAAAATTAAGTATTTTAAAAGTAGTTTTGTTGAAATTAGTTTTTAAGACAAACGACAAAAAAAAAAGAGTTTTTAACAATTTCATTATAGATGTTGACAGATACTATTGTTTTGTTTTATTATTGTTGATAGAAAAGAGAACATTTTGTAGCGGTAGTGGTGGTTAGAAATCTACAAAACTCTATGAGTCTTCGTTAGTCACTCCTTCGTGCGACAATCATACAAAAATTCTGTACGAAATAGGTCTAGGGACGATGGACTTGTATCTGATAGACTGTTTGATGCGTGTGTAGTTTTTACCAAGATGGATATCGCCACGGCTGCCGTTGTCTATATGTCTCTGATGCCGATATAATAAGGTACTTCAGACTCCCTGACGAATGTAGTGTCTTCCAAGCAAAGATCCTTGCGATTTGAAAGCGATTGAACGGAATACGGAATCTTATCGATCTAGAGATAATTTATGTTGATACTCAAACTGTTCTTACAGCGTTGACTTGTCATTCGCTCCTGATTGGAGATTGTAGATCTTAGGGACAAATCCATCTGTTTGATGGGAATGCAGTTTTTAACGACGAGTTCTTAGAGCATTGGCATGTCATACAATACTTTCGTTCCTGGTTATAGATTGTAGAAATGCTCTTAGGGACACATCAATCTGTTTGATAGGTGTTCAATTTTTACCGACAGGTTCAAGATGCAAGATATAAAAAGTTCATTCATACTCCCTGATGAAAGTAGTATATTCCAAGCATAGATCATAACGATTTCGAAAGCGACAGAGCTGATACGGAATCATATCGATCTAGAGTCGGTTGCGTTGAAAGTCAAGTCAAGTTATAGAAATGAACTTAGCGACACATCCATCTGGCTGTTCAGTTTTTAACGACGAGTGGAAGATAGATATCGACACGGGTGCCGTTGTCTATTTCTCTAATGCCGATATAATAAGGTCCTTTAGACTCCCTGACGAAAGTAGTGTATCCCACGTAGAGATCCTAGCGATCTCGAAAGCGACGGAACTCATACGGAATCATATCAATCTAGAGTCGGTTGTGACTATTTATGTTGATAATCTTAATTTTAGGGATATTGCATGACTCAACATTCTCAGTCTTCTAAGTTTTATCAAGGTAATAATTATTCATTTGTTCGACTGGGTTCTATAGAGAGATTTAGATTTTCTCATAACTCTTTCTTTAGTGAATCGATTCGGTAAAACTTCCAGGTTAAAACCACCTCAGGAATCGATCTGTTTTTATTTCTCTCTCCATTTTACTTATGTTCTTTTTGTTCTCTTTCTTTGGATCTTCATATTCTACGAAGGGAGTCGCAATGGACTTACTAAACAAGTAAAATTGCTATGTTCGTTAATTCTGAGTTGATGACTTGATGACTTCACGTCCATTAGCGTTATTCAATTTCAGGCTAAAGAGAGGTGGCTACCAATGGATATTTGTGGGGCTCTTTGAAGATCAAGTGGATGAAATCTATTGTTGCGAATTGAGGATGTTCCCTGTGTTTGTCTAGTTGTTCTCATCTATTGTCTATGGGCGCATATTTGTAGACATTGTGGGACAATTTAATAAATGGAACGTGTCGTGAGGACTTTGATGACAGGAGGGGCAAAGTGCCAAAAACGATTCGGTCATGATAGCATTTGAGGAATCTGCATCAACCGGCTATAATTGGGCTAATATGGTCCTCTCACTATCCGCGATCGCTGGGGGTTTTCTATAAGGACTCAGCTGTATTCTATAACAACTATTTAGCTGTATCAACTCAGTAGATTGCTATAACAACTATTTAGCTGCATCAACTCAGTCGCTTGCTATAACAACTATTTAGCTGCATCAACCGATTTTCTTTCCACTTTAGTATCTGCAACATCTCTTTAAATAATGAAATAAATTTATTAAAAATATATTTTGATAAATAACTTGAACCACGTAGCGTAAATAATTGCTTTTAACGTATTAGTTTTTGGTCATCAGAAAAAAAGAATCACATTAAACATTAATATTTGAAAAAAATGTTTTCATTTGTTTTTGATTTAATTGAATGTAGGTTATGATATGTCACCATTTATCAGACGCTATGCCAAGTATTTAAATGAAAAATCTTTGTCTTATCGTGCAATGGCTTTTGATTTTTGCAAAGTTAAAAGAGGGTAAGTTCATTCATTTCCAATTTAATAAAACAAAAATTATAAAATAATCTTTACTTAATAATTACAGCAAAGAAGAGGGTTCATTACGTACCATGCATGCTGATAAATTATTAAAAACTTTGCCCGTTTTACAAGCACAATTGGATGCTCTATTGGAATTCGATTGTCAATCAAATGATTTAACAAATGGTAATATATTTTGGAAAATATTTCTTTTTTTAAATTCAATATAAATAATTTTAATTTTTTATTATTTTCTTTTATCTCTTAAAAGGTGTCATTAACATGTCATTTATGTTATTATTCCGTGATCTCATACGTTTATTTGCCTGTTACAATGATGGTATTATTAATTTATTGGAAAAATATTTTGATATGAATAAGAAACAAGCACGTGATGCTTTGGATTTGTATAAAAAGTTCTTGGTGCGCATGGATCGTGTGGGGGAATTTTTAAAAGTTGCAGAGGTTAGTTGATAATTTTTATTTTTTTAAATTAAATTACTTTGTTTTCATCGAATGTTTTTATATTTTAATTATAGAATGTCGGCATTGATAAGGGAGATATACCTGATTTAACTAAAGCTCCCAGTTCTTTGTTGGATGCTTTAGAACAACACTTGGCCACACTTGAGGGACGTAAAGTTTCAGCTGCAAATACTCCTACACAATCAGCCAGGTTTGTTTAAAAGGGGAACTTTTACAGTGTAAAATAGCGATTATAGCAAGTTTAATAAACTTTCGTGAAAGATGAAAGTCTATAGTCTAGTCTATAGTCTAGTCTATAGTCTAGTCTATAGTCTAGTCTATAGTCTAGTCTATAGTCTAGTCTATAGTCTAGTCTATAGTCTAGTCTATAGTCTAGTCTATAGTCTAGTCTATAGTCTAGTCTATAGTCTAGTCTATAGTCTAGTCTATAGTCTAGTCTATAGTCTAGTCTATAGTCTAGTCTATAGTCTAGTCTATAGTCTAGTCTATAGTCTAGTCTATAGTCTAGTCTATAGTCTAGTCTATAGTCTAGTCTATAGTCTAGTCTATAGTCTAGTCTATAGTCTAGTCTATAGTCTAGTCTATAGTCTAGTCTATAGTCTAGTCTATAGTCTAGTCTATAGTCTAGTCTATAGTCTAGTCTATAGTCTAGTCTATAGTCTAGTCTATAGTCTAGTCTATAGTCTAGTCTATAGTCTAGTCTATAGTCTAGTCTATAGTCTAGTCTATAGTCTAGTCTAGTCTATAGTCTAGTCTATAGTCTAGTCTATAGTCTAGTCTATAGTCTAGTCTATAGTCTAGTCTATAGTCTAGTCTATAGTCTAGTCTATAGTCTAGTCTATAGTCTAGTCTATAGTCTAGTCTATAGTCTAGTCTATAGTCTAGTCTATAGTCTAGTCTATAGTCTAGTCTATAGTCTAGTCTATAGTCTAGTCTATAGTCTAGTCTATAGTCTAGTCTATAGTCTAGTCTATAGTCTAGTCTATAGTCTAGTCTATAGTCTAGTCTATAGTCTAGTCTATAGTCTAGTCTATAGTCTAGTCTATAGTCTAGTCTATAGTCTAGTCTATAGTCTAGTCTATAGTCTAGTCTATAGTCTAGTCTATAGTCTAGTCTATAGTCTAGTCTATAGTCTAGTCTATAGTCTAGTCTATAGTCTAGTCTATAGTCTAGTCTATAGTCTAGTCTATAGTCTAGTCTATAGTCTAGTCTATAGTCTAGTCTATAGTCTAGTCTATAGTCTAGTCTATAGTCTAGTCTATAGTCTAGTCTATCTAGTCTATAGTCTAGTCTATAGTCTAGTCTATAGTCTAGTCTATAGTCTAGTCTATAGTCTAGTCTATAGTCTAGTCTAGTCTAGTCTATAGTCTAGTCTAGTCTAGTCTATAGTCTATTCTATAGTCTAGTCTATAGTCTAGTCTATATAAAACAAATTCGCGCTAAAATTTTCGTTCCATATAAAGCACAATTAGGATAATGTTTTGCTTCAATATTTATTGAGAAAAATGTTTGTATCTAAAATTATCTTTTGAATTTTGACGCTATTTTTTGTAAGAGATTTTTTTAACCCATTAGATTTTTTTGCTAAAATCCTTTTTAAATATTGATTTTTTTTAGTAATTTTTGAAGTCACACAATATTTTTTTAGATATTTTATTTTTAGTTAATTTTTTGTTCCATTTTAATTTTTTTTATTTTCTTACTTTCTTCCCCTTTTTATTTCCCAACTAATTTTCTCAATTTCTTACTAAAATTAAATTCCTTATTTTCCTAAATTGCTTCTTTTTTGTGTAAAATTTTAAATTTCTCTCTCTATCCTTTAATTTACTTAAAAATTTTGGTTGCTCTTTAAAACAATTTAAAATGAATTTTTATTTTGTTAAAATTATAAACAATTTTGTTAATTAAAAAAAATAAACAAACCTAAAAGTAGCAACCAAAAGAATGTAAAATCCGCTGTTTCTGCCCTATCTTCTACTAGCTCTTCGTTTGGCACAGCTGCCGCTTCAAGTAAATTTGACACTACCAATGGTATCGATGAACAACTAAAGGCCCAAGCATTGGCTGAGGAAGAGGCGGCAATGAATCAATATAAGGTTTGTTTATTCCTTATTTAAATTACTCTTATATTTATAAAATTTTCTTAACATTTAATTAACCTGTTTACCTTTTCTTTTTGTGTGTTTTTGTTTTTATTTTTTTTTTCTAATTTTTAAAATTAAAGCAACATAAAGTTTCTTCACCCACCAGCGGCGGTGCTGCTGCTAACGCTGCATTAACAAATCCATTCTTATCGTCTCCACCAGCTTCAGCAGCTGGTCAACCGATAGTTGATTTGTTTGGTGCTGCCTCAGCACAGCCAGGCTCTGGCTCCACCGCTGCTGCTGGTACCACTAAAGCTTCTGATGATTTACTACAATTGGGCAATCCATTTGCCGATATGTTTGATGCTCCCCTTGCGAGCGGTGCTGGCGGAGGCGTTGCTACAGGTGCTCAAAATTCAAATAATATTTGGATGAATAATAATGGTAGCAATTCTTTTGTTTCTTTTACTTTTAATTTTGTTTTGTTTTGTATATTTTTAAGCTTTAAGTATTTTTGAAGTATTAATTAGATAGAGATAGATAGATAGATAGATAGATAGATAGATAGATAGATAGATAGATAGATAGATAGATAGATAGATAGATAGATAGATAGATAGATAGAATTTTCTTTAAATTTATTATTTTGTTCAATTAGTTTGCTTTGTGATTAAATGATATATTTGTATTTTTATTTAACTTTTTCGCCTTTACTTAAGCCTGTAAATTATTTTTAAGTAAAACTTGATTTAAATTTATTTCGATTATTTTTAATAATATTTCTAATTGTAATTTTAATATTATTTAGCTACCTTTAAGTTTAGCTTATTATTAAAAATATTTTTTATTTGTTTTTATTAGACTGATTAAACTAATTTGTCACATTTCTCTTAAAGGTTTCAATGGATCTGCTGTACCTTCGGCTGCGGCAAACGCTTTTGTTTCCGACAGCAATTTCTCTTCGGTATTCGGTAATACTGAACCAGCCGGTAAGTTTAAGTTTAACAAACGGTATGTTTTGTTTAAAATATAACTACTTGTTCTTTTGGTTACAATTTTTTTTCTAAAAAAAAAAATAAAATTACTGGTTCTTGTTTTATTATTCTTCACTTTAAATATAAATTCCGTCCTTTAATTTCAATTAGTCTTTATAAACTATTTACCAATATGTGTATAAATATTTAAAGTCTGTTATAAAAGAAATCTCTTATTAAACTAATTTTTAATATAATAAACGATTTTATAAAAATCGTAGAATTTTATTATATATTTTTTTAAAATTTATTTTGTTCTAGTATAACTTTTGTTTAAATTGTTTGATTTTGGTTTTTTTTGTTTAATAACTAATAACACATACTAATTATACATAATTAAGCATGTAAAGCGCCGTTTTACTATTAACTCATTGCAATAGTTTAAATAATATTAAAGTTTTATCTTTTTTACTAATGTTCTACTAATTTTTAATTTTTTTTTTGAAAGAAAATGTCAGTCTTTGTATATTATTTTTAAGATTTTTTTAATTTAATATTTTCTAATTTAGTTATTGCTTTGATTTTTCATTATTGTTTAGTTTAGTTTTTAGTAATTTATTTGTTGTTGCCCTTTATTAGTTAAGTGTAAAAAATGTTAAGAATTTTTAGAATCTGCTGTTAGAAACCCACAACACACAACACACTTTAATAATAAGTTTTTAGTGAGACTAAAGACTAGACTATAGACTAGACTATAGACTAGACTATAGACTAGACTATAGACTAGACTATAGACTAGACTATAGACTAGACTATAGACTAGACTATAGACTAGACTATAGACTAGACTATAGACTAGACTATAGACTAGACTATAGACTAGACTATAGACTAGACTATAGACTAGACTAGACTATAGACTAGACTATAGACTAGACTATAGACTAGACTATAGACTAGACTATAGACTAGACTATAGACTAGACTATAGACTACTAGACTAGACTATAGACTAGACTATAGACTAGACTATAGACTAGACTATAGACTAGACTATAGACTAGACTATAGACTAGACTATAGACTAGACTATAGACTAGACTATAGACTAGACTATAGACTAGACTATAGACTAGACTATAGACTAGACTATAGACTAGACTATAGACTAGACTATAGACTAGACTATAGACTAGACTATAGACTAGACTATAGACTAGACTATAGACTAGACTATAGACTAGACTATAGACTAGACTATAGACTAGACTATAGACAGACTATAGACTAGACTATAGACTAGACTATAGACTAGACTATAGACTAGACTATAGACTAGACTATAGACTAGACTATAGACTAGACTATAGACTAGACTATAGACTAGACTATAGACTAGACTATAGACTAGACTATAGACTAAGACTATAGACTAGACTATAGACTAGACTATGACTAGACTATAGACTAGACTATAGACTAGACTATAGACTAGACTATAGACTAGACTATAGACTAGACTATAGACTAGACTATAGACTAGACTATAGACTAGACTATAGACTAGACTATAGACTAGACTATAGACTAGACAAGACTACTAATAGACTAGACTATAGACTAGACTATAGACTAGACTATAGACTAGACTATATAGACTAAGACTAATAGACTAGCTATAGACTAGACTATATGACTAGACTATAGACTAGACTATAGACTAGACTATAGACTAGACTATAGACTAGACTATAGACTAGGACCTATAGACTAGACCTATAAGGACTAGACTATAGACTAGGACATATAGACTAGACTATAGACTAGACTATAGACTAGACTATAGACTAGACTATAGACTAGACTATAGACTAGACTATAGACTAGACTATAGACTAGACTATAGACTAGACTATAGACTAGACTATAGACTAGACTATAGACTAGACTATAGACTAGACTATAGACTAGACTATAGACTAGACTATAGACTAGACTATAGACTAGACTATAGACTAGACTATAGACTAGACTATAGACTAGACTATAGACTAGACTATAGACTAGACTAGACTATAGACTAGACTATAGACTAGACTAGACTAGACTAGACTAGACTAGACTAGACTAGACTAGACTAGACTATAGACTAGACTAGACTATAGACTAGACTATAGACTAAAATATAGACTAGACTATAGACTAGACTATAGACTAGACTATAGACTAGACTATAGACTAGACTATAGACTAGACTATAGACTAGACTATAGACTAGACTATACTAGACTATAGACTAGACTATAGACTAGACTATAGACTAGACTATAGACTAGACTATAGACTAGACTATAGACTAGACTATAGACTAGACTATAGACTAGACTATAGACTAGACTATAGACTAGACTATATACTAGACTATAGACTAGACTATAGACTAGACTATAGACTAGACTATAGACTAGACTATAGACTAGACTATAGACTAGACTATAGACTAGACTATAGACTAGACTATAGACTAGACTATAGACTAGACTATAGACTAGACTATAGACTAGACTATAGACTAGACTATAGACTAGACTATAGACTAGACTATAGACTAGACTATAGACTAGACTATAGACTAGACTATAGACTAGACTATAGACTAGACTATAGACTAGACTAGACTATAGACTAGACTAGACTATAGACTAGACTAGACTATAGACTAGACTATAGACTAGACTATAGACTAGACTATAGACTAGACTATAGACTAGACTATAGACTAGACTATAGACTAGACTATAGACTAGACTATAGACTAGACTATAGACTAGACTATAGACTAGACTATAGACTAGACTATAGACTAGACTATAGACTAGACTATAGACTAGACTATAGACTAGACTATAGACTAGACTATAGACTAGACTATGACTAGACTATAGACTAGACTATAGACTAGACTATAGACTAGACTATAGACTAGACTATAGACTAGACTATAGACTAGACTATAGACTAGACTATAGACTAGACTATAGACTAGACTATAGACTAGACTATAGACTAGACTATAGACTAGACTATAGACTAGACTATAGACTAGACTATAGACTAGACTATAGACTAGACTATAGACTAGACTATAGACTAGACTATAGACTAGACTATAGACTAGACTATAGACTAGACTATAGACTAAAGTATAGACTAGAGTATAGACTAGACTATAGACTAGACTATAGACTAGACTATAGACTAGAGTATAGACTAGACTATAGACTAGACTATAGACTAGACTATAGACTAGAGTAGAATATAGTCTAGATTAGATAATAGAGTAGACTATAGACTAAACTTTAATAGAGACTAGATTAAATAATAGACTATACTATAGACTAGACAGTAGACTAGACTATATGCGAGACTATAGACTACACTACAGAGTATACTACAAACTAGACTATAGACTAGACTATAGGCTAGACTATAGACTACACTATAGAGTATACTACAGACTAGACTGTAGACTAGAATATAAAACTTGATTTACCCAAAATCTATATTCCCCTTGTGTTGTGGGTTTAAAACAGTAGAACTAATAAAATTAAGTTCCTTTATTAAACCCCTTTAAGTATATTATTTTTAATTTACCCCTTTTTTCTTTTTATTTACATATATTTTTTTTGTAAAATTTAAAACCTCAACGATTTGATTCTAAATATCTTAATATGTGTGCAACAAACAAAAATTGGTATTTTTCAAAAAAAAAAAAAATATAACGAAAAACAAAACAAAAATATATTTAGCAACTGGAGCAGCATTAGCAAATCCATTTTTTGATTCAATGGAACCACAAACTTTATTCGATACCACAACCTCCACAACATTATCATCATCGTCGTTAACATCAGCAACAATTAATAATAATGTAGCAAATGTAGCCAACAATTCGACTTCCATTAACTCCAATACAAATCTATTTATGACGTCGTCATCACAACCGACTTCTCTGACAACAGGTGAACTAAATTAAATTTATAGAAAACAAAAAACAAACAACTTTTTTAAAAATTATTGCTTTTCTACCAAACCAAACAAACAAATTGAGATAAAAAAGAAGCGTACAAGTACATGTAAAATCCATTTAAAAAATTAAACACTTTTTCACTCCTTTTATTCACTTCACTCCACCGTGTAATCTATGTGTTCAGCTCAGTAGCCGTGTATCTTTTTAGAACTACTTATTATGTAACGAATTATTTCGTAAATCATATTTTTGTTGTTTGTTGTAGTCTTTATTCTCAAACGAATCTTGTAAACTACTTCCAAAAAATATATATATTTTTTGTACGCTGCTTGTTTTTATATCTACTTACTGCTGCGCTACAACTGCATACATTCTTGCTTCCCTGAGTATTGTATGGGATGTATGGTTGTATGTACTAGTATGTGTGTATTTCTATTCATTACCAGAATCCTTTTTTGGTCCTTGAATAATTCTTAATTTGTTTATTTATTTAGTTTGTTTTGCTGCTTCCATTTGTTTTGATTTGTAGTTAAGAAATGATTTTGTCCAGAACATTTAAACTAAAATTTTGTAAACCTTTTTTTTTTTTTTGTTGTCCTTAATCTTTGGTGGATTTTTTTTGTTTAAATTTTGTTTTTGTTTGTATTTTCTTTATAAAATATTTTGCTTAATTTTGTTTGAAATGTTTTATTTTTGAAAATGTATCATAAGCCTATTTAATTGTGCGCGTGTGCCTAGTACTGCTATTGAATAAATAATTAATTTTATTCTATCTTTTAAGTCCGTATTATTGAGAAATGAGAATTTACTGATTATTAGGGAAATTTAGGCGGAAATTATGATATTTATATTTAGTAACTTTAGACATAGGTTTAATGGTTTAAATCGTCTTCTGTTAGGTTCTTTAAAAATATTATTTTTATGGACAATTTTTTTATAATTTACTCGCAGTTCTCAAAAATATGTGTTTCACAATCTTTATAAATTAGTAATGACATATATAAAGACAAGTAAGAAATTATAGTCAGTCGAGGCCGGCCATATAATACCCTGCACCGGTTACAAAAATAAAATAAGATTTAGTTTTCATAATAAAGCATTTAAGTTGAATTGTATTATGAACTTAAAAGCCCTATTCGTCGGGTTCATTTGTATGGGGGCTAGGTGAAATAATGGACTGAAATAGGTTTCTTCTCCGGTACCATAGAAGATCATTTACCAAATTTCATTGAGTTATCTTCAAAATTGCGATCTGTAGTTTGATTAAAAGGTTTACAAGCCCAATTCAGGGGTTCAGTTCAAGGTTCAGGGACAATAGAAAATCATGTACCAAATTTCATTGAATTATCTTCTAAATTGCGATCTGTAGTTTGATTAAAAGTTTACATGGACGAACATAGCTAAATCGACTCAGATGATTCTAAGTCGATTGGTATACTTTAAGGTGGGTATGGGACCAATATTATTGTGCGTATACACCACTAAAGTGGTGTTGGGTATAAATAGTTTATGATATTTGAGGATTATAACTTTAATAGTTTCCGAGATATAGGATTTTGTGTATTTAATTCATATGGGAGAACTCACGGCAAGTATTGTCCATTTTTTCCCAAAGATTTCAAAGATCTTCGTGCAAAATTTGGTTATTTCGGCTATAATAGGCTCCCAGATATACAAATTTTGTATTCAACTTATTTGGAAGGTGTCACGCCCCCTATTGAAAGTGCACATATATTTTTACAAATTAGTCTTCCAGTTGTACAAATTTTTCTATTAAATTTATTTGGTAGATGCCACGCCCCACAGTGGTGTAGGAAAAAAAAAGAGGGAAATAATTCGGTAACTTCTAAACGGTTAATCCGATTTTGATGAAATTTGGTATGCACAAAGAGGAGGTGTTGTCGAGTTTAGGTTTTGAATTTGGACCTTATAGGCCAACCAGGGGCCCGGCGGGGGGTCCTCAAATTAGGACACCTCGGCTATGTTAAATTTTTAAAACGATCCTATTTCTTCATTTGAGTTCCGATTTAAAAAAAATTTCGTATATAGAATCTCCTCATCGAGCACTATAAAAAATGTCGTCGTAGCAGTAAATTATCTCTTATAGTTTAGGAGATATTCGCATTTGAAAATGAAAATTTTAAAATTTTTACCGTCCTTACTTTAGTTTTTTGATAATAGCGGGTCCAAATATTCCCGATTTTCGCCATATTTTTTTTATTCGCTTAACAACAAGTTTATATATCAAGCAGTGAAAGAATTATGTAAAAATCATGACTGAGTCCAAAGTTATAGGCATATTAATTTAAAAAATTAAAAAAAGGCCATTTTTTTGGGAAAAAAGTATCTTTTTCTTTTTAAGTTATCTAAAAAGTTTCTAAGAAGATGTATATAAAATTTATACTTTTTGGAAAGCTGACTTTACATAAAATACGATAAATGAAACAGAATCTAAAAATTTTTAATACCGAGGGGACCAGGTCCAATTTTCCAAAAAAAAACCTATTTTTTATGGAAAATTCAATTTTGAGCAAAAATTCTCAAATCGCATAGTCGATATCAAATTATAGTGACCTGTTTTATATGACCCAATATGTTCTTAATCATTTTGTAACGGGTTTCGATAACCCCGCCCCTGGTATGGATAAAATAGGCAAAAAACCAAAAAATTCCATTTTTGGGATTTTTTAAAACTTTTTTGGGAATTCCGGGATTTCTAATAAGAAAATTCGAAATTTTTATTTAATTTTGGATTTTAAGTAAAAAAAGCTACCTAACTGTAAAATTTCATCAAAAAATATTCATAAATAAAATTTTTATTGCAATTTGAAAAATTTGTATCTTCGCAAAAACTGAATAAAAAACATTTTTTAATTTTTTTTTAAAAAAAGTATTCCGCGAATTTTTTAATTTTCAAAATTAATTACAGTTTTGAAAAATAGACAAAATTACCTTTCCATTGATATATAACATGCCTACCTAATGTTTTTTAAGTGACAAATTAATTAGGGAAAACTAAACATCTTTTAGAAAATTTACCTAGCACTATTATTTTCATCCATATATGTAACAAATTTAAGAGTTAACCTTATGGATGAAAATAATAGTGCTATGTAAATTTTCTAAAAGATGTTGAATTTTCCCTAATTAATTTGTCACTTAAAAAACATTAGGTAGGCATGTTATATATCAATGGAAATTTTACAGTTAGGTAGCTTTTTTTACTTAAAATCCAAAATTAAATAAAAATTTCGAATTTTCTTATTAGAAATCCCGGAATTCCCAAAAAAGTTTTAAAAAATCCCAAAAATTGGATTTTTTGGTTTTTTTGCCTATTATATCCATACCAGGGGCGGGGTTATCGAAACCCGTTACAAAATGATTAAGAACATATTGGGTCATATAAAACAGGTCACTATAATTTGATATCGACTATCGATTTGAGAATTTTTGCTCAAAATTGAATTTTCCATAAAAAATAGGTTTTTTTTTGGAAAATTGGACCTGGTCCCCTCGGTATTAAAAATTTTTAGATTCTGTTTCATTTATCGTATTTTATGTAAAGTCAGCTTTCCAAACAGTATAAATTTTATATACATCTTCTTAGAAATTTTTTAGATAACTTAAAAAGAAAAAGATACTTTTTTCCCAAAAAAATGGCCTTTTTTTAATTTTTTAAATTAATATGCCTATAACTTTGGACTCAGTCATGATTTTTACATAATTCTTTCACTGCTTGATATATAAACTTGTTGTTAAGCGAATAAAAAAAATATGGCGAAAATCGGGAATATTTGGACCCGCTATTATCAAAAAACTAAAGTAAGGACGGTAAAAATTTTAAAATTTTAATTTTCAAATGCGAATATCTCCTAAACTATAAGAGATAATTTACTGCTACGACATTTTTTATAGTGCTCGATGAGGAGATTCTATATACGAAATTTTTTTTAAATCGGAACTCAAATGAAGAAATAGGATCGTTTTAAAAATTTAACATAGCCGAGGTGTCCTAATTTGAGGACCCCCCGCCGGGCCCCTGATTGGCCTATAAGGTCCAAATTCAAAACCTAAACTCGACAACACCTCCTCTTTGTGCATACCAAAATCGTGCATCAAAATCGGATTAACCGTTTAGAAGTTACCGAATTATTTCCCTCTTTTTTTTTTCCTATACCACTGTGCGCCCCCTATTGCAAGTTCACCTGTATTTTGTCAAACGTTTATATGTATCTCAATGTTATCTATACAAAATTTGTAGTCTAATCCTCTGGTAGTTTCCCAGATAGAAGATTAAGTTCATATGGGAGGTACCAAGACCCATATGACAAATACGCACATAAATATACCCCCAAGTTAAGAGCCATTTAGCTAAAAGGGTCCCCTCATGTATGAGTTTTAATTGGGGGAATATTCAGGAAATTTTCCATAGTTTTGGTATTTATATAAGCTTTATTATTAAAGTTTATGTGTCATGTTGCGACTTTGACCTCAATTCGGGCTAGAACCGTTATTCACCATAATTTATGGTATAATTCCTGAATGTGTAAAACTAACTAGGTCGAAATTTACCATGATTTGTACACAATCAACATATTTATGACAATAAACTCTGGACCAATATTGTCCATTTCCTATAGCGAACAAATATTATAAACAGAACATATTTGTGGACATTTTTAATCGGTTAGCTCCTTCCGTTCAAACCTATGGCGATTTCAATAGACAGTCAGACGGATTTTAATAAGGAACTCGAATATAAAAAAAGAAGAGAGATTCTGCTGTAAGCAGAACAGAAAGTCAGTGTGTTTTGTTGCTAGTGAGAAGCCCACTTTCTGAAGAGAATCCGCAATGGTATTGCCAGGTATCTGTTGATGACCTGGAATCAATTACAGTCTTATTGTGGAATGTTTCGCCATCTTATTTAGGGATGTCGGGCATTCTATATAGAAGCCACCACCTAGACCAACTTTCGATTTGGAGTCATCGATGAATATCTAATATACAATTAATAAATCATTCGTATAAGGAGATTCCTGCATCAGAAGTTTTAACAATTTAATTTAGAACTAAGAAAAAGCATTTTTGAGAACTGCAAGATTATTGTTTATTTTCTAAGTATACATAATATAATTTAATTGTTAAGTTAGTTTTATCAAGAACTTCTTTAGGAACCAACAACTAATACAAATTGTTAAAGTTTAAAAAAATGTTGTAACAATTTGTAATAGCTTATAATAGTGTTATGTTAATTTGTTTCAAATTAAAATTTCTTAAATTGATTGACAATTCGTAAAGTTTATTTTAGTGTAAAGTTCTTACGGTGGTGGTTATATTTCTTCTTGTATATAAACACAACATTTATTAATTAATTAATTCTGCTTGCTTATTAAAAACAATATTTGTTTTTTGTTTATATTTAATTTATTTTACTTTTAATACTTTCACTAACAAGGGATGTATGATAATTGTCCAATTCACAATCAGCATTGTAGGGTTGTATTGTTGTATAATAACACAATTATCAAATACAATGATACAATACTACAAAACTGATTGTGAATGGGCCAAATGTATTGCAACTAAATTTTGAAACTGAAATTATGAAATTGTAGTGATTCTATAGTACTAGACTATAAACTAGACTGTAGACTAGACTATAGGCTAGACTATAGACTAGACTAGACTATAGACTAGACTATAGACTAGACTATAGACTAGACTATAGACTAGACTATAGACTAGACTATAGACTAGACTATAGACTAGACTATAGACTAGGCTATAGACTAGACTATAGACTAGACTATAGACTAGACTATAGACTAGACTATAGACTAGACTATAGACTAGACTATAGACTAGACAATAGACTAGACTAGACTAGACTATAGACTAGACTATAGACTAGACTAGACTAGACTATAGACGAGACTATAGACTAGACTAATAGACTAGACTATAGACTAGACTATAGACTAGACTATAGACTAAACTATAGACTAGACTATAGACTAGACTATAGACTAACTATAGACTAGACTATAGACTATAGACTAAACTATAGACTAGACTATAGACTATACTATAGACTAGACTATAGACTAGACTATTGACTAGACTATAGACTAAACTATAGACTAGACTATAGACTAGACTATAGACTAGACTATAGACTATAGACTAGACTATAGACTAACTATAGACTAAACTATAGACTAGACTATAGACTAGACTATAGACTAGACTATAGACTAAACTATAGACTAGACTATAGACTAGACTATAGACTAAACTATAGACTAGACTATAGACTAGACTATAGACTAGACTATAGACTAGACTATTGACTAGTCTATAGACTAAACTATAGACTAGACTATAGACTAGACTATAGACTAGACTATAGACTAGACTGACTAGACTATAGACTAGACTATAGACTAGACTATAGACTAGACTATAGACTAGACTATAGACTAGACTATAGACTAGACTATAGACTAGACTATAGACTAGACTATAGACTAGACTATAGACTAGACTATAGACTAGACTATAGACTAGACTATAGACTAGACTATAGACTAGACTATAGACTAGACTATAGACTAGACTATAGACTAGACTATAGACTAGACTATAGACTAGACTAGACTATAGACTAGACTATAGACTAGACTATAGACTAGACTAGACTATAGACTAGACTATAGACTAGACTAGACTATAGACTAGACTAGACTATAGACTAGACTAGACTATAGACTAGACTATAGACTAGACTATAGACTAGACTATAGACTAGACTATAGACTAGACTATAGACTAGACTAGACTATAGACTAGACTATAGACTAGACTATAGACTTGACTATAGACTAGACTAGACTAGACTATAGACTAGACTATAGACTAGACTATAGACTAGACTATAGACTAGACTATAGGCTGGACTATAGACTAGACTATAGATAAGTTAGAAGCGGTATTTTTCAGAATTTTCCATCCATGCTTACAAATTCAGCTTCCCTTGTTATTTTTTCTCTTTCTCTTTATTTTTGTTTTTTTTTTTATTATTTATAATTATTGTTTTTATTATTTTTTTTTTAAAACCATACGTTTTCTCTATCTCTCTCTTTCTATTCACATTTTAAATTTCCTTTTTAATATTGTTTTGATATAAAAAAATACAAAAATTAATATAGTCCAACAACAAATTCATCAATATTTATTTGCAAATATATTTTTTTCTTCTTCTCTTTTTATGTTTTATTTTATTTAAACAAAAAAAAAAACATCCCATTTATTTGTCTAAAAAAACTGTGGTGGCACAAATCTTAATAAATAAAACCGTTAAAAATATAAAAATGTTAATTAAAACAAACGACAATTAATTAATAAAATAACAATAATTATTAAAATGTGTAAAAATAATGGTGGAATCTCATATCTAAAAAAATACCAAAAAAACAAAATGGTGGTTATCATTTTACTTTTAACATGTGTGCGTGTGTGTATGCAATGGTTTTGGTTACAACAAAAAAATCACAATTCATTTAAAATCTCATTTGTAAAACTCTCCTTTATCATTCTCTTTATTCATTATAATTGTAATTATATTTATTTTGTTTTATATATGTGTGCGTGTGCCTTTATGTGTGCGTGTTTTGTATTATTATTATTATTGTAATAATTCTAATTAAAAATTCGCTGAAAATGCACCAAAAATTCAAAATACACCATATTTTAACACGCAAAATATCACAAATCAATTTGTAATAAAACCAAAATTGAACGTCCAAATTTTTATGCCAAAAAAAAAAATCTCTTAAAAACCACATACTTTTTTTGTAAAAAAAAAACACAAAAATTTTGCATTCAATTAAAAAAATAAACAAAGGCTTTGATGCTTTGGGTGATGTTTTAAAACCCGGCATAACGTCTACTACAACAAATACTACTGTTGGCAAACCACCAGCAGGAAATCAAACAAATATTAATACTGCAGGTATTGCCTCACAAGATCAACTACTCCACCACCACCAACAACAATCGCAACAGCAGCAACAGCAACCACCAGCCAGCACTGGAAAACTCTTAACTGGTGATTTGGATAGTTCTCTCATGTCTCTAGTTGAAAATTTAAATATTAATAAATCAGCTACAACAAAGTGAGTAAAAAAAAAACAAATACAAAAACAAACAAGTAAAAAATCATATCACTCAGAATTAGCAAAAAACATTTTAATCCTCCAACATTTCTCTCACGCTCTCCTTAATCCTTTCGAACGTTTAATCCAATATGTTTGTTATAAAAATGTCGTTAATTTAGAATTCGTATATTTTACTTCAAAAATATGCACAAATTTCCGGAAAAGTATTTTTAAAAATTTTGCTCTATTGTTGTTGATTTAAAGCAGTGATCGGCAGAGAGTGACGAATGTGTTTGAAAGCCAGAGATCGAAAGAGATTAATATTGGTTTGGACTAGTTTACAGACTAGTTAGTAAATTAGTTCATAGTTTAGTAGACTAGTCAGTAGACAAATTACACGTCGATAGACTAATTAGTAGACTAGTCTATAGACTAATCAATGGACTAGTCAATAGTCTACTACCACTCTACAGTCTAGTCAATAGACTATTCTGTAGACTAGTCCATATACTACTGAGAAGTCTAGTCCATAGACATGTCAACAGGATAGTCAATAGACTAGTGCTTAAACTAGTCCATTGACTAGCCAAGACACTACTCTGCAGACTAGTCCATATACCACTCAATAGACTAGTCAATAGACTAGTCCACGAACTAGTCCACAGACGAGACAATAGACAAGTCCATAGACTAGTCAGTAGCCTAGTCCATAGACTAGTCAATAGCCTAGTCCATAGACTAGTAAATAGACTACTCTGTAGAATAGTCAATAGATTTGTCCATACTGTCAATACAGTACTTTGTAGGCTAGTCCATACACTAGTCTACTAGACTACTCTGCAGTCCATAGTCTACTCAATAGTGTAGTCCATAGACTAGTCAATAGACAAGTCCATCAACTAGTTAATATAGTAGTCCATGGACTAGTCCATATTTTAGTCCATAGACTAGTAAATAGACTAGTAAATAGACTACTCTGTAGAATAGTCAATAGACTTGTCCATAGTCCTGTCAATAGAGTACTTTGTAGGCTAGTCCATATACTAGTCTACTAGGCTACTCTGCATAGACTAGTCCATAAACTACTAAATAGACTAGTCCATAGACTACTCTGTAGAAAAGTCAATAGACTAGACTTGTCCATAGACTATTCAATAGACTAGTCAATAGAATGGTTAATAGACTAGTCCATTGACTAGTCAATAGAATAGTCAATAGACTATTCATAGACTACTGTGTAGGCTAGACAATGCTTGTCAATAGACTAGTCAATAGACAACTCTGTAGACTAGTCCATAGACTACTCCGTAGACTAGTCCGTAGATTATTCTGTAGACTAGTCCATAAACTAACCATTTAATAATTCAGTAGATTAGTTAATAGTCTAGTTCATAGACTAGTAATAGAACAGTCAATAGACTAGTGCTAGCTTCACGCTTATATAAAATAACTGTTTCATTACACAAACAACTTATTTGCCACTCTCTGTCGATATCTGATTAAAGCATAAGCAATATTATTTTGGATTAAATATCATATTGGATTAAATATAAACTTTCTTTCTCTCTTTATTGGTTGATTAGAAAAGGGAAAACAAATTCCTTAAAAATTAGTTCAAAATTCTTAACGATAAATCCTGATCCAACTAAAAATCCATTAGCTCAACTCCAAACTCACTCTCCATTTAAAACTTTCCTGTCTTTCTATCTCTCTCCAACTCACTGTCATAATCTCTTTCTCTCTTTCATACTCATACTATTTAATCATTGTATTTGTATTATATCATTCATTCATTACAACCAAAAAAAAAAAAAAGAAAATAAATCAAAGCAGAAAACAAAAACTTCTTCCCATTATATTCATTCCATAGACCTGTGCAATGGAATTCACCTAAAAATACTGCGAAACCTGGTGCTAATTGGACACCTCAACCAATGGCTGCTACTACGGGTGCTGGCTATCGTCCAATGGTGAGTGTCTTTGTCTCTCCTCTATATCTCTCTCTCTTTCTATATTCAGAATTATAAGAAAAAAATACAAAAAAATGCAAAAAATTTTGAAAAAAGAAGAACAATACCAAACTTCAGTGTTATTATTCTACTATTTTGCTTCTTATTTGTTTTTAAAATATACAAAGAAAAAGCTTTATAAATTTGGAAAATTTTGTGTTTTTTTCTTTGTTTTTAAAACATTTAAAAAAGCGGCCATTTTAAGCTTAGTTAAGTTTTTTTTTAAGCAAAAAATTAGGCTGTAAACGTAAATTTAAGAGATTATTTATTCATTAATAAATAATATATTGTTTAATTGAAATTTGTGCCAATAAGGAAGGTTTTAGGTTTTGATACATTCAACTTTTTTTGTTTGTTTAATTTTGTTGCTCTTTTTGTACTACACAACCTCACTTTATCTGACACTTTTATTTTATTTTTTTAAAAATATTTTTTCTCTTCTTTACACCGTAGTTGAGTTTAAAGTTTTTTTCATATTTTTTTTAATTTATTGTTGATTATTTGTTAAAAATTTTGATATTTTTGTAATTGTATGTTTAATGTTTTATATTAATTTATGATCTTGCTATATGGTTACATTTTTATATTTATCTTTGTAGTAAAATAATAGTTGAAAATTTTCAGCAAATTAATGCAATAACAACGAATGAACTTACACAGAATTAGTTATGTAACTAATTCCTTGTGAATAGAAAAAGAGCTGTTTTAGGTTAAACTAAAGTTCTTCCGCCAAATTATAGAAATGTTAAGACTTCGTTTGTATTGAAGTTTGTAACGCACTAATATAAGTATTGGTTCTATTAAAGTATACCAATCAAATCCAAATCACTTTCCGGGACGATTATCTTCAAACTTTTTACAATTGAAATCGATCTTCATTTCAGGAATTACTTCTTTCAAATGTAAATATTAAACAGGCCGACAAAATTCGATTTTTGGCCTATTGATTTGATTGAAACAATTATATAGTGGTACTCAGACTCTCCTAGAACACCTAGGGATTGTTCCAAGCTTGGTCCAGGAACTAAGATATGGATTTTTCAAATGTCGGTCAAACGTCTATGCACTTTCCTATAGCGGAAGATTTACTGTGGGGACAACGTTTATGATATTGTCTTTCAAGAATCACGCGCCCCTGAACTATACCAATGAATCCAAGTCTCTTAGAGAGAGATCTTAGATATTAAGCTCGTACTAAAGAATACTAGTTTACTGTATACCTCACATTAAACCTTAATCTGGGGTCTGAGCGACATTTAACGGGAACGTTGTATGTATTCCAACACGGAGCAGGTTACTTTGACATATTAGCTGATAATATTGCAGATGAAATCGTTAAAACTATTCCCCCAATAAAAGTGAGGTTTACGCATTATTGGGAAGTTCGATGTCATACTATAATACAATTAACAGAAACGGTACGGTTCTGTGATTGCTGCCAGCTGGGTTATGACTTCTGCTAAAGTTGCAACTTCAAGGATGAAGAATTTCTGTGCCTATGTATTGCATGATACTTCAATCAGCCATTTTGGTACGAATTGGCGGATCTCTCCCTCGATATTCGCAATATTGATTTCTTCATTTGCGTCAAATGTTGGTTTTAACATCGAACATTGGGGCACTTAGATACCCTGAGTAGAGAGTTGAGTTTATCATCTATTTCGGAACCATTCGTGGATCTTTTAGAACCTATATAATCTAACCTAAAAATTTTCACTTTTTCGGAATGTAATAAGAACCTTTGCAACAAGACTATATTTAAAGCTTCTTTCAAAGAATTTCTACATTTTCGGGGTGTATTTCGTGGTGTGACTGACATCCCTAAACATTAGTGGAACGTCATATTGATAAATTTCGCAATAAATTCTAGCGATCTTCAGTTCTAGTTCTAGTTCAGTTCTAGTTCAGTTCTAGTTCAGTTCTAGTTCAGTTCTAGTTCAGTTCTAGTTCGTTCTAGTTCAGTTCTAGTTCAGTTCTAGTTCAGTTCTAGTTCAGTTCTAGTTCAGTTCTAGTTCAGTTCTAGTTCAGTTCTAGTTCAGTTCTAGTTCAGTTCAGTTCTAGTTCAGTTAGTTCACTAGTTCAGTTCTAGTTCAGTTCTAGTTCAGTTAGTTCAGTTCAGTTCTAGTTCAGTTCTAGTTCAGTCAGTCTGTTCAGTTCTAGTTCAGTTTCTAGTTCAGTTCTAGTTCAGTTCTAGTTCAGTTCTAGTTCAGTCAGTTCAGTTCTAGTTCAGTTCTAGTTCAGTTCTAGTTCAGTTCTAGTTCAGTTTAGTTC